CGCGCAGCGCGCACGGCGGCCGCGAGCCCCGCCAGCCCCGCCGGCCGTGAGTTCGGGTCCCGCTGCGGCCCGTCCCCGTTCCCTCCGCTGCCCGCCTCTCCCGGCCCGGGGCCGCCGCAGGCTGCTCCCCCTGCTTCTCCCGGGACGGCCGCGCGGTGCCGCCGGGCACGGGGCCGCAGTGCTCGGCGGGGCCGTGGTGCCGGTGTTGGTTCGGAGCGGCAGTGCTCTGGCGGGCAGGGCCGCGCGGTGCGAGGCGGCCGCTGGGGCCCGGCCCCGCCGGCTGAGCGCTTTGAGCGAGGCTCGGGCTGGACGCGAGGGAAAGCTCCTGTATGGAAAGGCTGCGCAGGTCAGAGGTGGGGCCAGCACCCCTAGAGGGGTCCCGCGGCCGTGTGGGTGTGGGAGCAGCGGGGGGCCGGGGGGCGGTGGGGCTCGGCGGCCTCTCGTGCCCAGCCCCGGTGGGGCTCGGCGGCCTCTCGTGCCCAGCCCCGGTGGGGCTCGGCGGCCTCTCGTGCCCAGCCCGAAAATTGTGGATGCCGTGATGCTGCTCTGCCCGCGCCTCGCCCGTGTTTGTAAACACCTGTGACCAGCGGGACGGGGAGGGAACTCGGGAGATGCCGCGAGTTTATGGCTCGTAATGAAATGTAGCAAAGCGATAAGGAGAAGTATACATTGAAGTGTATGGCAACCAGCTGAAAACCCCATGTACAGCTGGTAAGGCTCACGAGCACGGCTGTGTTGAGGAAGCTGTAGCAGGGGCTGGGGCAGCGTTTGAGAGCAGAAGGAAACACCGCAGGCTGTGAATTTCCGGGCTGTTTCTTGCCGGGGCTGCGGTGAGTGTCTGAATCTGGCAAGGTTTTGTCCACTTATTGTGAACAGGTGTGATAAATCTCTCGGGGGCTTCCCAGAAAACCTATGTCACATTACAGTTCTTACTCCTTTCTGTTTTTCTCCTCGTGTTGGGGACCAGCCGCGGTCCCTTGCTCCGTGCGGGGATGCTCTGTCAGAGCGCAGCCCATGCCTGTATGACCCAGTAGCAATCCGGGAATTAATCAGGGTTAGTTCTGCTTCAGAACCAGCAGAGGCCGCCCCACGTTTTCTTTTAAAAGGAAAACCATCCTGGTTTGCACAGTTCCTAGGAATTTGCTTGAAACTCAAACATGCACGCTTTGGTTGTAAGTTTTGCATCTTTGAGGCTGAGAAAGGACTTGGACATTAACAGTGCAGTGTGTGTTTGCCAGTTTTACTTTGCTGTAGTAATTGCGGTTTCTTTAACATTCTCTTTGAAGCCAACATGTCTCGAGAGACTGGAAGTGAGGCACAGCAGTCCCAGAGTGCCCAGCAGCCACAGAGTGGTACCAGCTCTTCCAGTGGGTCACAGAGCACCAGTCAGTCTTCCTTAAGTTCTGGGACTCTCAGTTCCTTGGACACTGTTCCCACTCAGGAGCTTCCGTCCATCCCTGAGGACCAGGAATCTGAAGAGCTGAATCCTCAGCCTTGGGGTCGACTCTTTGCACTTGGAAAAGGTTTCAGCAACTGTGGTAGGTGCATACTGTGATATAAATCTCTTGGTTTCTTTGTAGGATCTCAGAGAAGTTCTGAGCAGCTTGCTGAAGAGCAGTGTCCTTTCATTTTCAAATTAGTTACAAGCAAATTTAGATATGGAACTTTTTGCTATAATGTTTTATTCCATACTACATCCCAGTGTTTACACTGAGTTCTCAGATACACAGCTGCCATAGACTTATAGAAATTCTGGGGTGTTCATATTCTTTGTTACATGCTTCATTTGAAACAAATTTTATAATTTATTTTATTTAGTTATATGTCTCTATATTGCTGATGGTAAACTGAAAAATACTACTGCTGAAGAGGGTAAAATTATTAAAGGATTTGACAAGGTGTGGTGCTTTGTATGAATTAAGACAAACTTGATTCTATGGGAAGGATCTTGTCTCTGTTATCCTATCCATTACTATTTGAAATCATTTTGTAGTGCCATAGTTATTAACTTCCTGCAACATTGTCTTCTCTCTCTGCTGTACCCTCCCCTCCTCTGCAGACTGTGTCAATGAGGAGTACTGGTTTGGGAGGGACAAAAGCTGTGATTACAGTTTTTCTAAGCTGGGATTGTCTGAGACTGGCTTCTACCAAAACTATAGCAAGAAGCACTTCAGAATTTTCAGGGTAAGTGCTAAAAATGTTTATCTATTAATTCAAAAAGAGACTTTGGGGCAGAGATCCTAAAGAAATCAAAGTATCTTCAGGGTTGACTCCTTTTGGCAATACCCCATTCATATGTTTTATGAAATAAACTCAGTCTCACTTCTTGAGTCAACAATAGTAAATTCCTAGTGTATCATGTCTTTATTGTAAAGTCATTTGTTCTTTACTGTCATCTTCTCCATTTTTTTTCTCTTTGAGGAAATGGGTCCAAGAAATTCCTTTGTTGCCTACATTGAAGACCATAGTGCAAATGGGACATTTGTTAATAGAGAGCTCGTTGGAAGAGGGAGGAGGCTTCCACTGACACACAACTGTGAAATTGCGTTGTCTGTACAGACTAATAAGGGTAAAATGTGCTTGAACTTAAGTAGATTTTTCATGTATTGACCAAGAGGTTGCTTCTGCATTAATTTGAGTTTGTTTCTTGGGAGCTGAGCTGCTTTGTGAGCGCATCTTATTAATAGGTGTTTTATAAAAACAAAAATAGTTCACATAAAAATTATCCATGTCAACTTAGGAAAAAAACGGAAAAAAAAAAACTTAAAGAAATATGCATCAGGTAGCACCTTACTAGAGTATAAACTTTTATAGTTTTTTTCCTGTTTTTGAAACCCTTTTGGGCTTCAGTAGCTGTGCATGTGATGGGGGGAACAGGGGAAACAGACTATTCAAGAAAAGTTGAAAAAACGCTCCCAGATACCTAACCAGATGCATCATAAATAGAAAATCCTCTGAAAAATAAACAGGCCTGGGCTTTTGTTTATTTGGTTTTGGTTTTCCACTAAGATGCTGTCTTCTTGATTATTACTTCTCTTTGATCTTTGCTGGGACATTGAAATTTTTACTCATTTTGCCCTTAAATGTAGTTAATTAGTTAAAGATTACTGTGAATTTAATCCCAAAATGTAATTTTTCAGCACTAAGATCACCTTGCTAACCCATAGCTGGTATACTGCTGTGAATTTAATCCCAAAATGTAATTTTGTTAGCAATAAGATCACCTTGCTAACCCATAGCTGGTATAATTTATAGCAAATATTTAGATTTTCCTCTAGCAGGCAGTATTTTCTCAGTTATATTGTTGATTATAAAAGCTCACAAAACATAGCTATTTGTTTTAATAAAAATTTTAAACCTAATAATAGGAAAATGATCTCCACTTGTCTTCCCAGTGTTTGTGTTTTCTGATCTTATGGTGGATGATCAGATGATGTTTCCTAAAGAATTCAGAGAGAAATATATCATGTCAAAGACTTTGGGAAGGTAAGCATCCTTCTCCCCTCAGTAGAAAGGGTTAATTTCATTATCAGTATCTTGTGCTGGAATTATTACCAGTATTAACTGAGCTGCTGTTTTAAAAGAAAAAAATGAATGATAACATGTGAATAAATATGTTCTTTACAACAATTTAAACAGGAGTTTTGGCTTTGTCTCTCTGATTGGTTTGGGGTTTGTATCCTACCACCAATTGCAAAAAACAGGTTTTTTGTTTTGTTTTGGTTGGGGTTTTTTTTTCTGTAGAAGGGAATGAAGTTTGTAAATTTTTACTGTGTTTTTAAAGTTTGTATATTAATTTACTCAGTTGTTGGAAGTAGAAGGAAGAGCTTTGTGTCAGAATACAGCTTTCTACAATATCACTGCTGAGGCCTTCAGATGAAAAGGAAAAGAACTGTCCAGGAAAAAGGAGAGAGAAGCTATTTTAAATGGGGGCTATTTGTTTTTTCTCTTTTGGAAACAGTTGGTGAAGAATCTGGAGGTGAATAATTAAGTAGAAACAAATCTGAGTGGAAAACAGAAGAATTTCTTTCTGTAATATAATTGCTATTTAGTAAAACTACAAGCATAGTCATATCTGTTCCTCAGATTTGTGCAGTGTTAAGAGAATTAATTCCTAAGTTCTCTTCTCCTAAATGCCTTTGCATGGAGGAAATGCTGACAGAGCTTGTCCTTCCTACCTGCCAGTACTTCTGCTACAAATAGAGTAAGGACTCCTGCAATTCTGAATGAATGGCCCTTGGCAACACTTGTGTTTAAACAGACTTTCTAACTCTTGAATGTTTCCTGAGAAGTGCTGTAGACTTTCTAACTGTTGAGTACTTCCTCAGAACAGACAACGTGCCTTATTCAGAAAGCAGCCAGCTCCAAATTATGCTTTCATTTGCCTGCACTTGTTACAGATTTTTGACAGAGCTGTGCTCTTGTTTCAGTGGTGCCTGTGGAGAAGTCAAACTGGCATTCGAGAAGAGCACCTGTAACAAAGTTGCAGTGAAAATCATCAATAAACGGAAGTTTGTGGCAAGTGGCCTGAGTGATGAAGTAAGTATTGTCTGTCTGTCTGTCTTGGCCGCCTTGCAGCAGTCTTGGAATATTTGGTAACTTCTCTGACTCCTCAGCTCTCTTCAAATGAGGATTTTCTTACTCAATGTCTTCAGTATTTAATTTAAAAATGCTTTTTGATCTTGTATCATGTACAGAATTCTTGGTTTTATTCCTTGACCACATCCGTTAGGTTCATCATTTAATTAATGTTAATGGGATATATACAAGGGGTGGTGTGGAGTCTTGCAGGGTTTGGTCTATGTCCTAAAATGTCCTAAAATCATAGACACATGATAACCAGCAGAGTCTTGACCAAAAATGTACCAATGAAGCTAATTTTCTTGAATGCTCCATCATAATACTTTTTAAGAAAATTGTATGGAGCCTTTTGGGAAGGTCTAATGGCAGAAGCCAGAATTGGAGAAGAGCAAAGACTGGCTCAAGATGCTGTTGTGAATTATAATTACATGTTCTTCTACAAAACAGACACAGGAGTATATCTGGAATGTTGTGTATGGGTTAAGTTGTGTGTTCCAAGATGATTGATTTGGATTGGAAGAAGAGCAAAAAAATCCCTGCTGAGCTGATTTCATTAGTTGTGCCTAAGCCACGGGTTAGAGAATCTGTTTATGTTATCTTGCAAAATAGTAGCATGTAATTTTAGATTGGCTCATGTGCAAAGCATCTTGGAGGGAGAAAAGCTGTTTAAATACAATACAAGTATATAAGCAAAAATAATTTTTTTAACTTGGAAATTAGTTGAGGTTTTCTAACCTGCAGTGAAATTACATGTCTGGAGCAATATCTCGTTCCAGATATTGACAACACTCTGTTTATTTAATTCACTGAAGGTATCTGATAATTCTATGGGAAAAAAGTTGTATGTTATGATCACTTAGAATAGCAAAAGGCATGAAATGATCTCTTTTCTGGTACTGTCTCTTATTTCTCATATGTCTTATTCCAGAACAGCTCTGTCTTACCCAATATGGTATTTGATTCTTTTAATAGAACCCAGGTTTAAATATCAATACAGAAATTGAAATTTTGAAGAAAATAGATCATGTGAGTATTACTGTACATTTTTATTATTTTTTGCTCTCTCCTCTATGTACTTGTTTAGTTTACTGACCTTAGTGTAGTAATGAAAGAGCAATTTTATCCATTCAGAAATGTGTTAAAGGAGATATATAATTTCCCTTGTAGATTATTGAATGGGTCTTTTTTTCTTCTTTTAAGTGTATTATATCCTAGCAGATTTGAGATTTTAATGCTTTGGATAACTGAGATAGAAATTTGAGAAGAAACATCACAGGAGAACTTTTAACTGAGCCCCTGTGGCAGAAATTTTTATTTCATGCAAGTTTTTGTAAATGCTGCAAAATAACTAAATGTAAAGACTAGTTTCCACTGGCTGTTTCTTGAATTTATATCCTCTCTTTCCTCTGCATGTAAAGTAGATAAAGTGTTGAGGGTGTGGTCTGGGGGGCTTGCAAGTCACTTGTGTTAAATGTTAGCTTAAGTGACCTGGTTTGGAATAGTGAAATAAGAACTTCAGGATTAATTTTTACAAATTATTTTATTTTGTGTGTCTCTGTTTGTGTTCCCTTTTCTGTTAGCCTTGCTTAATCAAGATTAAAAATTTCTTTGAAGCAGAGGATTACTACATTGTTTTGGAACTGTAAGTAACCTGTTTGAAAGTAAATGCATAAAATGAAATGTTTTTTTCATAGCCACAGTGAACTGTGGAGGTTTTGCTTTTATAATTTTGTTTTTCGTTTTGCTGGCCTCCACTTTTCTCTAAAACCTTTGTAAGATTAGGAGCTAGATAACCAGGAGAAATCATCCTTCTGTGCTTTGTAGGCACTCAGGGCCTGGGTGTTGCTTGCTCTGCTGCTGTTGTGGATTTTTATTTTATTTTGGTTTTGAGCTCATAAAAGGGAGCTGATCAAAAATCATGTAACAACTCCCAGTGAAGACTCAAGAGACTGACCTTGCCTCAGCCATGCTTGTGCTGTGTTTAGGATGTTGCTCACTCATTTTCAGAAATATAGTCTTTCTCTGTAGCCAGAATGGCCAAATGTTTTGGTCTTAGTCTTGTCTAATGAGATGAATCTTTTGGAAGTTATTGTTGGCTTGTTAACCTGCATTTGTTTTAGGATGGAAGGAGGAGAATTGTATGACAGAGTGTCAAGGCCAGTCAAGATGAAAGAAGAGATCTGCAAGTTGTACTTTTATCAGATGCTGCTGGCAGTAAAGGTACATAATTGTGAATTCTACCAAAAAAACAAAGTCACTAAGATGAATTTTTCTGTCACTTGCCATTGCTGAAAGCCAAGCAAGCAATCAGCACAGCATTCTTAACAAGTTGGTTTAACGAGAGAGAGACAGAAAAGCAGAATTCCTGCAAAGGTGACACAGAATGTGGGTCTGCACACTGTGCTTGCATGAGATTTGACACTTGAAGCATAATTATTTCTAAGGTGCTTTTTTGCTTCTTTGTGATGGTGTTTTGGTGTGGGTTCTTTTGTTTTGTTTTCATTTTGCTTTCTTTTTTTAAGGGACAGTCCTATGTTAGGGAGTTTTAAATGTTTGCCCCCCTCTCACACAGCCATTTCAGTTATCCTGCCATTGCCATGAGAAAAAATGGGAAGCTTACATTTTAAAACAAGTTAATAGTCTGGTTTTCCTTAATTTCCCATCTGTATGTATTTAGTATCTTCATGACAATGGAATTATACACCGAGATCTAAAGCCAGAAAATGTGCTACTTTCATCTTCTGAGGAGACCTGTATTGTAAAGGTAAGGAAAATTACATTTCATGTTAATGGAAAAATTTGGGAGTGTTGCTTCACATTCTTCTTGATATTTCATTGAACACAGCCAAAAAGATATTATGGAATTAGTCATACAAACCATGAAGTAACTTGAAACATAGGCCTTTTTTTTCATAATTGTAATTTTACTTTTGTGGATATTTAAACCCATACACTACATATGTATTTTCAAATGTCAATGATTTTTTTCCCCAATAAAATCTAAATTCTTGAATTACAGACAGCATTCCCACAAATGTCCAGGGTGGAATTAGGGTTCTGTATTTTCTTGTGTTGTTTTTATTTTCCTCCAGAGAAAGCATTGACTCTATTTACATACTGAAATGCATATTTTTCATGTAAACTTTTCTAATAGGCTAAAACACCTTTATTCTAGTTGTCCATTTATATCCAAATATTAGAGTATTTTTTGGTAGTGTAAGTTGTGATCCTTTGTCATATTTCTTTCTCTTCCTCCTCCTTAAAAATGTTTGGGGTGACTTCATAGTCATGTACTGGAACTGGCTTGGAAGGAAGAAACTTAATGCTACCTCCTGATGTATGTCTACAGTATGATGTGTTCTAGTACAGTCCATCCTCATATGTAATGTGATGTTACCATTTTTAAATACAAGATTACAGATTTTGGACAATCCAAGATTCTTGGAGAAGCTTCTCTTATGAAAACATTATGTGGTACTCCCATGTATCTTGCTCCTGAGGTTCTAAATTCACTTGGGACTGCTGGATACAGCCGAGCTGTGGACTGCTGGAGTTTAGGAGTTATTCTTTTTGTATGGTAAGATATTGTGTAGATGTACCTTCACTGGGCAGTCTTTGACATGCATGGCTTGAGACTTGGCAACTTCAGTGTCTGTTTGAGGAAGGGAAAGTTTAAAACTCTACACGTATAAAAACACTGCCTTAAAATGTGTGATTTCAGTGTTTCATTTGCTATGAGAAATTCAGTGTTGTTTAACTTCTTCTCTTTTATACAGCTTGTGTGGATATCCACCATTCAATGAGCAAAATACTCAGCTCTCTCTGAAGGATCAAATCACTCGTGGAAAATACACATTCATTGCAAAAGAGTGGAAGCACGTGTCAGACATGGGTATGACTCCAGCACAGTGGGTAGCAAAAATCTACCTCTTTTCTTGTAGTTTTTATTTTCCGTTATCCTCCTTTCAGCTGCGTGACACATTGTGTGTTAATGTTTCATTTTTAAGCTAATATATTTAAAATATTTTTTGAAGTTCATAGTTAAAGCATTAGAAAGAGTACATACTTTATTATTGAAGAGATTTCTTAGTAGTATTTAGCATAATTAACCACACAAGTACAGAGTTTGTGGGCACATACATCTGTTTCTCCTCTTTTCACTTTTTCTTCTGACTTTATCAAGCTCGTCCACAGACTTTGCCTAAAGATTCTTCAAGTATTGAACCAAAAATACCAGTAATTTAAGGAATATGAGTTAGAATTCCAAAAAACAAACGTTCCAAGGGAGTCCTTTCATGGTGCTAGTCTTTGAGCTGAAAGTGTCAGTCACATTTGAGGAATCATCTATTATGTTTGGCCCACTGTAAGTGAAGTAGTCTGTGAAACTGAGTTTTTGCATAGCAAACTAAAATGATAATTACTGTCTGTGTGCTTTTAGTTTTTCAGGACATTTTATATACTCAAAATAACTGTAGTATTTACCTTGGACACTTCTTTTTATGTGCAGAGGAATTTCTAATAAATTATGTGGTCATCCTTTGTCTAATAAACTTATCAAATATAACTTCTTCCTGAATAGTTTGGAGCTTATTCAATATTAAATCAGACCTTCATGAGAATGTACAATTTTAACATACTTTCCATAGTCCTACTGATATGTACTAGAATAATCTGATCAAATGAAAACTAAATCTTGCTGAAATTCCTTTATGGGAGATTTGGAGTAATGAAATACAACATAAATGCCATATTTTTCACAGTGTCTACTAAGCAGCTTCCTAAGAAGATGATTTATGTTGAGCATACATGTGTATGTCCTGTCTCTTCTCTCCCACTTTCCCAGATGGATAATCTGCTTTCCAAGACACTGTAAACCAGGATAAATTAAGCTGTCTTTGCTTTTCCACAGTAATACTGAAGCTTTTAGGGAAGTGCTGAGCCTCCTGTGCATGCTCAGAACATAAACTGTGTATATGCTAAATATATCTAAGGGTAATTCTGGTATACTGAGAAGTGTGGAGTTGTGTGCATGTGAAGGAAGGATGGTTGCAGTCTGCAGCCCTTCCCATGCACAGAAAAAGAAAAGGGATCTGCCCAGCCTGCACTTGTGTGCATTGGTGTAAGGCACATTGTCACAGGTAGTTTTGGTGTAGGCAAATTTCAGGTAATGAGTGTATTGACCACATGCCAACCAGCTCATTTTATTGTCTTAGCTCTGGATCTTGTGAAGAAGCTGTTAGTAGTGGATCCAAGCAAACGCCTTACCACAGAGGAGGCCTTACAGCATCCTTGGCTTCAGGTAGGAATTGAGTTTTAAGTGAAAGCCGTGTTGTTTGAGGGATAACTTGTTCATATCATGTGTTTTCAATAATCCCTGTAGAGAGACTGCAAAAGCAGCATGGAGTAGTCTCCTGGATACCTTCTTTCAATACAGTAAGCAGCTTCTGCATCCCTTTGAGACACCTCTTCCCAGAACTCTTCCACACGTGAGATCCAGATGTGTTTTTTAGAGCCCAAGTCTGACTGTGGTTCTGGTAGGATGGACCTCTCCTTCTGGGCATTGGAACAGAGCCCCATCTCCTCAGATGTTTGTGTGGGCAGGCAGTGCAGTTTGTTTCTGGCAAGCATTCAATACTAGTTTGTTTTTACTCTGCTGTGCAGGAATAAGTGTCCCTGCTTTGGGAATCCTCTGAGTAGGAAGTGATGGTTTCCCTGCCTCCTGTTATAGTCTAATTAGGTTTGAGAGGGATAATCTTTAGGTGGTCTTTTCTTAATTTTGGCAGAGGTACCCACTGAACCGATGAGCTTTCTTGAATATTTTTGCTTGAAGAGGCTGAAAAATGTCACCCAGCCTACATCTGAGCCATTCAACAGGTTCTGTTTATTCACACCAAGCACAAGGCTATTCCTGTTCCCCCACTGGTAACAGGAGAATTTCAGAGGCTTTGGTGAAGAGCATAAGAAATGAGGGAAGCAAGGGAGTATCCCTCAGTGCTCAACAGCTGATAGTGTTCTGAGACAAAAAACATGGGTGGATCACTTTTTAAAGTGATTAACTTGTCTTGATTATGCTCCTGGGCATCAGGAAGCATTTCCTGGCATTCATGGCTTTTACTTACTGGAGTTGTGTGTAACATTTACAATGAGTTCATCAGATATAGACTCTTACATTTGAATTATAAATCTGAGCAGAAAAAGTTATTCAGAAACCATGCAACACTGATTTTAAAAATCGCTGGTATGCATAAGGGGAAAGGGGAAATGGATAACTGATCTAAATGAGCTAAGAATTTAAGATATATCAGTATATATATATATATATTCAAGTTGTTATTATTTTGATTATATATTCCATGTAAGGACATCTCTTCCTGTTAAGTTTAATTTTGAAGACAGGACAGAAGGTTCCAGAAAACATCATAGCCAAAAATCCAGATGTGATCTAGCACTCAGCTGCTGCTCTTTGAGCTGTTTCCCTCCAGGGGCTGTTGTTCAGAGTGTCAGGTGTTCATAGGTGATGTAGACTGCTTGGAAGGCCAGCATCCAGCATGCTCAGCTCTAGATATCACACATCTCATATCACCAAAAGAGCTCCCCAGTCCTGTTCCTGTCAGTAGTGAGGAGTTACTGGCTCCTCTCTCCCTCTTGTGTTGTCTGGAAGTATCGACTTTACAAGTCAGCAGGAAAAACCACATTCTCTCTGTGGCCAGCCTGCTAGCCCTCTGATGATTTTGGGGGCATTAGGGAATTTTTCAGATACTAGAAGTAAGCATGTTCTGCAGATTTATTTAAACTAGTACTGCTTTCAAATTAGTGTTTTCAAAACAAGTTGTTTATTTTTTGCTTAAATCTAGAACTTTAAAAACTTGTTGAGCTGTGTAAACCTAAGTACTGCTCAGTGGAAATGTCTTCTTACCTGTATTTACTTAATAAAACATTTTTTAAAGGCACATAAACACTTATTGCTGTTTCTGCCTCTGAAATCTTCACTGAAGTCTTTTGAATGGTACAAGATTAGTTTGGTTGCATGCTGAAGAAAAACCACAGGTTTTTGTTACATCAATGGAAAAATATTTCTTACCTTATCCATCAATTCAAATGTAGCCACAATCAAATCAGGTGACACTGGAAAAGAAAAGTCAAAATTCTGTATAAAATTAAATGGATATTCAAGTAAAATCCTTTTTGTAGCACTTAAGAATAGTTAAATAAAAAAGGAGATACTGCAATACTTCATTGCTTTGGAAAAGGACCCTCTCCAGTGCCTTCACCTAAAAAAAACCAGCTGAAATCCTTAGGACCTCAACGATCTTTATTTCTAAGTGTCTCTAGCACTGAATGTCCCATTCACTTCTCTTTGAGTTTCCCAATCTTTGCTTTTCCCTTAAATATTCTATATACGACTTAGATGCTGGGGTTTTTTGCAGGATGAGGATATGAAAACTACATTTGAACAGCTGCTTGCTCAGACACGTACCAATATGAATCCACCAGAAACATCAAAAATGGTATGTGCAGTAGATATTTGAAGATTAATATTTGATGTACAGAGAAACTAGATTTTGAAGTAATCTTTACTAAGAAAATCAGTTAATTTTGAGACTTTAGAGAAATGTACCCTTGGGCTGTAGGTGGCAGCCTGCTGGTTAGTTCTGTTTCCTGAAGAGTATCCATGGATTTCCATGTTTTGTCAACACTTTGTTTAAATGTATAGAAACACTTGCCTAGGCTTTAAAGGATTAGTCCTATATTTAGAATAAAATGGTTGAATGTATTTCTTTTTCATGGATTCAAGTCACTAATGTTTGGTATTGAAGTAAACATTCTCCTGCTGGTGCAGGGTTAGGACAGCATTGTGCCATTCATCACCAGATGCTAATTAGGAAAATTATGAACAGTAGCTGTTTCAAGCTGGGAGCAATGTCTTATATGAGAACCATCAAATAAAATTAGATGTATCTTGGGAGAGAAACATGGGTTAGGTTTTGGTCACACTTCCAACACTTCTAGTTCTGGAGCAAGCAGAAAGTCAGGTTCTGCCTTACCTGGTTTCCTGGAGCCATCCTCCTGTGTTTTTCTTCCAGCCAGCCACAACGAGAAAGCGTCCCCATGAGAATGAGGAAGACAATGGCTCTGCTAAACGTGCTGTTCCTTCTACCTCCTATCAGAAAATGAGGTGAAAAGGAAGAGAAAATGACTTTGTTAATGACAGCTTTTTTATGGAGAGCAGAATTTTTTATTAAGAAATATCTTAATAATGGAATAAACTGTTGAAGATGTATAATTTTCAAATAAAAATAACTTTGTAAGACTGAAGTGACTGCTGTGCATGCATGAGAATCTGCACAATTAGTCATGTTCTAGTCCATCCAGCTGTCTGACTCGAGGAAAGTATCAGAAAAACTCCTGAATTAAGTTACTAACACTTTTTTAGGCTAGCTTCAACCCCACCTACATTCTCTCTTTCTTCTTTTCCAATTTCTAGGTTAGGCATGGAAATAATGCTTAGTCCTAACAGATGAAGAAGGAATACTAAACTTGCTGAGCTTTTGCCTGAGACACAGCATTACCTGACACAATGCTGCCCACAGACTTCTGAGGACACTTAGACTATTCAGTTGAGATGTAAAACTTCTGATGGACCTTGAGGTGCTCTGGGCTTCAGGTAAAGCTCCACAGTAAATGCTGGACTGGCAGAATCACAGCACTGTGCACTGGGATGGGGCTGATTGGCTTCCAAAGCAACAATTCCCATCTGCACGGTGTTTAACATGAGTGTACCATGTTTATTTCCCAGGGGAGGGATGAGCAAGAGGAAACATGATAACAGGAGATGAAATGAACATTTATAAATTCCTATCAGGGAAGAACTAGGAACTGAACTGAGAGAGGAAAAACTTGCTTGCCTGTTAGGTGAAAATTTTGAACTGTGTGCCTCTTACTAAAGGATTATTAACTTCATAACTGACTGAAAGAACAGTTTAGTAACTCTGTTCTCCAACATGCACTTCTGGTTAAAGGCATCTACTCTAAGTTGATTTGTAAAGAATAAAACCTAATGCATTATGGAATAAACCCATGTCAGGTAGGAATTAATATATTCATGAGTCACATTTCATGTGTGTGCCCATTGCAGAGATCTTGTGTGTTTTGATATATTTGCTATTAAACCAATGCTAATGATAAAATGCTGATTCTTGTACATCGATACTTTTCTTAATGGATTGGATGGAGAAACATCCATGGGCATCTGGATGGAAACAATACCACTGATTCCAGTCCACTCCAGAGGCAGTGGGGTGATAGAACAAAGTCGTGTCTGTCCTTGGGGATGTGCCCTTGGGTGCAAATCTGTCAGTGGCACATCCTCAGGGAGTTCTGGTGTTTACTGCAGCTCATTTGAAGTAGAAGGGAACACTCAGCTGCCATTTGCCACATAAAAGAATCACAGGATGCACTGAGCCAGATTTGTGTCCTGGTGTAGTGCAAAAGCTGATGCCTTTGGGCTTTGGTTACCAGTTACTTTAAAAAGACTTGCATCATTGCTGATGAGAAGGTAATTCCCTAGGCTACTTACACTGTCTATTTGTTTTTAGATAGAAATAGAAAACTTCCATAATTTATTCCTCCATCTTTGTTTTACATCCCACAGTTGTTAGATAATCAGTAACTGTTTTGCTTGGGTCCTTTCCCTGGGTCCTGACTAGGATCTGCTTTCCAATGATGTCCTAAAGTTGATCTCACTCATTTGGTGGCAAACCTTTGGGCTGCTGGCCATGTGTTCATCATTTGATTGTAGAAAGCTTTCTGAAGTTTCAGACTCTTTTTTTTTTCTATGGAAGAGTAAGTTTCACTGCGGTGAAGTGGCATCCAATTTTCAGATAGTTTAGAAATCATTTTTTTATCACTTATTACCCGCAGCACAGGAGTCTTCAGCATAATCCACTTTGCCTGTTCATTTCAAAAGGCAGGATGGGTCCCAGCAGCTGGAAGACTCGGGTTAAGCAAAGTGCTGAGGCTCGCTGTGCCTGGCCAGTGCGCTGTCAGGAGTGACCAGCATCCCCACCGGCGCTCGGGGTGCGGGCCGCTCTCACTCTGGAGCTCGGGCTGCCGCTGCCTTTGCCCGCCGGTGCCCCTCCCGTGTGGCGACAGAGCGGCGCTGGAGCCGTACCCTCCGTGAGCACGGAGCTCGGCCGTGCTCGCGGGAGGCGAGCGCTGCTCTGTGCCCCGTGTCCCGGGGCCGCCGCGGCCGGGGCAACCCGAGCTGCAGCCGCAGGACGTCCGGCGCGGGCCCGGCGCCGTCGGGCGGGGGTGCCCGGGGTCCGGGCGGAG